TCTTCCCTGCCTTTCCCCTCGGCAATCAATGCCATACATTCCCCACTAATAAATAGTTGTTTTTTTATAAAAACAAAATACAAATGGTATCCCAAATAAACCGCCAACACTACTGAAGTAATGAATTAAGTCTAAAATGATGTTGCTAAGCTGCGTGAAAAGATCCATAGCAAGGCCGAATGGCACAACGTACTGAAGTAATATAAATTAGTCTCTGGCAATTTTCCCTGAAATCGGTTCAGATATAGATATATAACAAAAACGCCTCGCCTGTTGGGATACATATGTAGAATCATTTCACAATTGGCGCTGTGCCTTCATATATAGGTGATTTATAAAAATATATAACCACATCGAACATTTTCTGCAAAGAACGCGGAATTTCAAATTGCAACCACTTCGGTTTAAAATTAAACTAAGGCCGTCAGCATACGAAATATGGGGATGGACCTAAAAAATGTATGAAAGTGTAAGAGGTTATTACATTTCAATTTAGTTTTAATAAAGTCATTTTATTGCATTGACATCGTTACGACGACCACATTAATGATAAGATAAGAATACGATTGGAGGTTAAAATCTTTTCGGAATAATTTTTTCATGGAGTAAACATTTACGTCATGCGATTCAAATTTGCTTATTTTACACAGTTGCTTCAGTTGACCCTCAAAATATTGAGCGATCATTTTTAAAACAGCTATTCTAAATAGTTGGCCAGTACCCTTATCCGCGTAAAATTTGTGAGGTTCGACCTAAGAAACAATTCAATAATACAGTTTCCGTTCCATTTCACTGCCTAATTATCATCTGATCATCGCCGTAGATGTCGGCCTTGCCATAACTCGAACTTCCTGTTAAATTACATAACGATCAGCGCGACATTTTCGCCTTATACACCTTTTTCAAAACTTTTCAATTGCAATTCGAGAATTTCATTTGTAATTCGAAAACTCGATTTGCAATTCAAAATATTTCACTTGTAATTCGAGAGTTCATTTGTAATTTAAAACTTTTCATTTGAAATTAAAATAATTCCATTTGAAATTTAAAAGTTATCATTTGAAATTCAAAAAAATAGTTTAAAATTCAAAAACTTTAAATTAATAACATTTCACTTGTAATTCATAATAGTTCAGTTGTAATGCGTAACAATTCATTTCATATTCATAAATACTCTTTGTATGTTACAAATAATATTTGTCAAATTTAAAATTAAATGTTATGTATAACAAATGAAATGTTATGTATTCCAAATCAAATGTTATAAATTTCAAATGGAATTATTTGTATTTCAAATGGAGTCCTATGAATTTCGAAAGGTATTCTATGAATTACAAATGAAATTCTCGAATTACAACTGATAGTTGTATACAAAACAATATAAATGTTATAATTTTAAAGGTCTCATGTCCTTCAGGTGTAAATAAATACAAATTTGGTAATTTATCACACAAAGGTCTGAGTCCATTTGATCTGCTAAATATTGACCGATCTTTATTACAACAGTCATGTGTATTCCATGGACATGCCCCTTATTCTGTATACAATTTCGTGATATGCGGATCAAAATTGTGGAAAGAAAGTTTTTGACCCATTTCATCCCCTTAATATTAACCGATAATTACTAAAAACAAGAGGGGTCTTATTTGGCCAGAAATCTCCTACATGCGATGGGTCCATAATGTGGCCTGTATCGTGTATACAAATTATATAAACAGACGGAGTGACGGACGGACACACATGTCTAGATCTACTCATCTGGTCAATATATGACATTCGGTATACTAAAAGGTGGGTCTAGGGTCAATATTTCGCGGCGTTACAAACTCTTAATACCCCACAAAGCTATAATACCCTGACAATATATTTGTATGGAGTATAAAGAATTTTTAAGTGATTATTTATACTCTTTCGAGTCGAGCTTACTGATCGAAGTGTTGCAATGAAAAGGAAAGCCAGGAGAAGAACCTACGTACCCACCATTATGCGACGCGTTTCGTCGTTGGTTAAGCGGCTCATCAGGCATATTGAGCTATGTTGCTTTACAAATGTCGTTGATACAAGTTGATAATTTGTATTTATTCAGCCCTGATGCGAAACTTGCATATGCGATTAAATTCAAAATTTTCAAAGTTCGAAATTTGTCTTTCATTCTAGTCGGTATAAAGAATATATAGAAGAATACAGATTTGTTATTCGATATCCATAAAAATCACTATTAATGTTTACTGCCTCTACCATAAAACCTACTATTTGTAGAATAAATCCACAATATTCGAAATAAATTATTATTCCTTCTTTGTTGTTTAACCATTGACCCACACATTTAAGCATTTCATTAATTTCCTGAATTTAAAATTAAAGAGGCTTATTTTTTATTCCTTTCGTTTGAAACCCCCCTCCTACAAAAAAATGTAAATTGTTAACCATGTATTTATCAATGAATATATTTGAACCTTTTGTTGTTGCTGTTGTGTATCCGACAACAAAATAATCGAAATTTACAATTCATGGCCTATCTTTCACAATTCGATTGATGAGAATTTAAAATGCATGTAAATGAAATCAAATGCTGCGTCCACGTCAAGGTTTGTGACGCAACCCCTACGTAAATTGGACACCACTGATTTACCAAAAAGACATATAGAGAGATCAAAGCTTGTTTTTTTTTTAAATACACCTTTCCCGTTTTTTTTTTATTATTGAAATTCAGGCAAATTTGAAAAGAATTGGGTTTGTTTTCATTTCATGGTTTCACTTTTATGATTCCGATTTGAATGCAAATCATACGAACATTTGTGTTCGTTGATACATATATCCTTCAGTACATTTTGAGATATTTAAAGTTTTGGGTTTGATTTGTTTCAAAAATATACTTAAGCGGTATTAATTTTGTTTGTGGCTTTGGGCTCTTAAACATGACAGTAAACTGTACTAGAAAACCGTGGTATGTATCAGAATCTAAAATTGACTTAAACCACCTTCAAAATAAACGACTCATATGTATGTAGATGTGTAATGTTATTGTTTAAATTTTAATTATAACCCCTATCTATAAAAGACTCACTTGAAAAAGACTCACTCACTTGAAAGGACGGGGCCGACTATATGATACCCTTCACCACTATGGGTATGTTAAACAGGGCTATTAACTTGAAATAGGATGAAATAAAATATGTGATATTTATCTAAATGTGAATCTACCTAGATCTATCCATAACGTATGTAAATCGACTTCAAACTAATATAAATAGGTCATCCGTTGGGCTATGTCTGTACTTATAGAAAATGCAACTACGTAATTCTATGCTCAATTTTGTACGTTGTGCAAAATTTGTTGTCAATCTGACTAACATGAGGAGTTTGATGCCCAATTTACTTGAAATCGGGCGAAAATATATATGGAATCTCTATGCAAATATTAAGCGATTTCAAACAAACTTGTCACAGGTTAGGTTATACTAATTTCGGAACGTTTTGTTCCTATCAGCATATTGGTTCCTTGGTGCGTCAATTACTTAAAATCAATCTATAATAAAAGGGAGCTATATCTAAATCTGGACCGATTTTCTCGAGACATCACACTAGGCTCAATTCAGTACGTTATGCCAAATTTCGTGCAAATCGAAGTATATATGGGGACTTTGGTGACCATTTACATGAAATCGGACGAAACTATATATGGGAGCTATATCTAAATTTGGACCGATTTTCTCGAAACTTGGAAGACATCACTCTAGACTCAATTCAGTACGTTATGCCAAATTTCGTGCAAATCGAAGGATATATAGGGACTTTGGTGCACCATTTACATGAAATGGGACGAAACTGTATATGGGAGCTATATCTAAATCTGGACCGATTTTCACTAAACTTGACAGACATCTTTCTAGACCTAAATGATTAGGCCGTACCAAATTTCGTGCAAAACGAAAGATATATAGGGACCGTTTACATTAAATATGTACATTTCGCGGCCAGGACTCTTTCGAAGGTCCATTCACACCTTCGGACCTTCAAACAGTGACTTTTCAGGATGTAATAGCCTTTATCAATTACTTGACTATTCTCAGAACCCCAAATATCGTTGAAGAAAATTTGGCTCGAAAAAGTGTCGTCGGTCGCCTGTTGTTCCAGCGCCTACAAATGGCCAGCTTCAGTAAACTGAACTTAATATCAAAGGAGCAATTGCAACTTCCTTAAATTCGAATGGTGCATATCGTTGCTTACTATGTCTTTTTATTATTTCTCCATCAGTGGTTTTCTCAGGAAGTCAGGCCGCCTTGAAATGTTTTTTTTAATCCCCTACATTTCTTATTAACATTGAATCAAATTGTGTTGTTTTTTAACAACACACAGCAACTGTAAATGCCTTGCGTCCGCATAAAACAGAATTGTCAATTTTCTCGGAAATAAGACATAAAGCGTTGATGCGAATTACATCAGTTCATATATTTCTTTTTTCAAAAAATGCGGATAAAAGGAATAGCATGTTCATACTGCGTAATGTTATGACGAGGAGGGAATCTTCATTGAAATGTTTGCATAGTTTTTTTTTTACTTTCCAATGCTCATCAAACTGTCAATTAATAAATGTCACAAGATAATAAAGAAGCAGAAGGAGCTGTTTATCGTCTCTGTTATATTTGCATCCAGTCACAGGGGCATATTTAAAGACTAGGCTTTTTAAATACTTTAAATATTCCAATTGGGCGCCATGGATTTATAGTTGAAAACGTTACAATACATAATTTCGAGTGTTTCTAAAACCTTAATTTATATAAATAATTTCCTTACCTACAAAAAACTTAACATATCACAATTTCCGATAATTCAAATTGAATCCCAAAATCAGATAATAGCGTAATTTTGTGTTGGACAATCTTGACCCACCCTCCTTTACGCAATAACAATACAAAATTATTTACCAAATTAACAGAAAAATACCAATCGCAATATTTATTCTTAACATATGATTATTCGTATTTTTCTCCTTTCAGGAACAAGTAAAACTTGATTCCACCAAACAGGTAACCAGTCCCGATGATTGTGAAGATCTCAGTCCAATGCCACAAACAGCCGCCCCACCAGTACGACGACGTGGCGGTATTTCCGCCGAACCAGTCAGTGAAGAAGACGCCACCAGCTATGTGAAAAAGGTCGTACCCAAAGACTATAAAACAATGGCTGCCCTGTCCAAGGCCATTGCCAAAAATGTACTCTTTTCACATTTGGACGAAAACGAACGTTCGGATATATTTGATGCCATGTTCCCCGTAACACATTTAATGGGTGAAAATATCATACAACAGGGTGATGAAGGTGACAACTTCTATGTAATTGATCAGGGTGAAGTTGAGGTAAGTAGTATTTATTTATATATTGATGGTATAACAATTTTAAAAAATACCTAATTTTTGTAGGTTTTCGTCAATTCCGAAATGGTTACCACAATCGGTGAGGGCGGTAGTTTCGGTGAATTGGCCCTGATTTATGGTACACCCAGAGCAGCTACTGTACGTGCCAAAACTGATGTCAAACTATGGGGAATTGATCGTGATTCATATCGTCGCATTTTGATGGGCTCAACCATACGCAAACGTAAAATGTACGAAGAATTCCTGTCGCGTGTTTCGATTTTGGGTAAGTTATTTATTGTAATAGTTATAAAATCACTTTCGCGTAACCCCATAAAAAGTATTTTGGTGTCAAATTGCCAGGTTGAGAAATTTCGCGGCCAGGAAATGTCTCTTGAAATAATATTCGCTCGAGTTGTGTGACATGTGGCACCGTCTTCTTGAAATCGCATATTGTCCAAGAAGTATTATTCAATAGAATTGACAAATTCGAAGAAGTGCGGCCCAAACAAACCTGACTTTTTCTGGATGTAATGATCTCTCTTTAATTGCTTGAGGATTTTCAGAATCACATATACCATAATTTCTTTTTTAATATACCAACCAAGAGAGAAATGTGCTTCATCGCTGAAGACATTTTTTTTAGAAAAATTACCGCCCACCGCCTGTTGTTCAAACACCTATTCCACGTAACTTCGACGTTGTGAATGGTGAAAAGGTTTACATTTTTGCGTGTGCTGGACCTTATGTGGATGTTGGTGTAGATCTGCATCTATATGAAGTTCGTATTAGACTTTCAACTGAGAAGAAAACAAGCAAAAAAGTGCCAGTCGGTGATGCCGATAGATGGATACGCTTAGCCTATGGTTTGCCGAGGTATACCGAATTACTTTCTAGTGTCGAGGTGTGCTATTGTTTATTAACATTATAATTTGTCATAATTGTGACAGTATTTAGGGGAGGTACCAGATGATGAACCTATATAGCCGATAATTTCACTCAATCTATATTTAGTATAAATATTAAGGTCTTCCATGCCTAGCCCAAAGGGAAGATACCAGAAGTGGTGAACCAATGGGTCCAATCTTCGGACTTTATCTAGGTTTGGTTAAAGTATAACGATTAGCAAAATTTTGATTCAATTGCACATTTGTTTAATATTGAATTAACAAGTTTTCAACATTTTGACCCTTCGTGAGGGAGGTACTAGAAGGAGTGGACCGATAAGGTTGCTCAAATCTGAGAGTCCGTTCGCATGTTATTGTAAAATTGCTTTTCGGCAACATTTCTGACCCTTTTGTTTTGCAAATCTATGAGTCCGTTCGCATGTTAATATAAAACAAAATTTCTGACCCTTGGGGATCTTCGAACTTGATTTAGGTATGAACAAATATTATTAAATTGGGCGTTCCATTAGCTTGATAAATTTTCAAAATTTTAATACTTTGTGGGAGAGTTACCAGATGAAATAGACCAATATGTCCCATCTTCGGACTTGATGTCCAGAGTTCGGGTAAAATTGGACATTTCATTCGATTAATATTGGATTTATAAATATTGAACTTTGACACTTTGTGAGGTATCAGTAAGAATGGCCCATTCTTCGAACTGGATCTAGGATTTGTAAAAATATTACGATGTGTAAATTTTGGATGATATTGAATACTCCGTTCGCTTTACAAGTTTTAAAACTGTTGACCCTTTGTGGGGGAGCCACCATAGGGAGTGGACCGATAAGTCCCATCATCTAACAATGTACATTCATGGTTACAATATTAGGTTGTGCAAAGTTTATTTTAAATCTGATTTACCTTCGCACGATATTTTAAAATTAATATTCAGCAAATGTGTATATACCTAATTAGCAATAAGACTGAGGGTATAAAAATTGTTGGTCATTTGATTGCTGTAGGAGTCGTCCTTGGTCGAAAGTTCATGCCAAATGCCATGTTTTAAAAGACGGACGATATTCGAAGTCCCACTTCGAATAAAGTCTGTCGATTACAAATTAAATTGCTAAATTTAAGCAATTTATTACACTGTCCGACAAATTTGAATTTTTTTGATAATTACCGGGAAATTCCAACAGATTATGAAAGAGGGGCTAAAAAAGAAAACACGTGTATCAGCGTTTGGAAAGTTTACGTCGGTAGATAACCTAAAAGGGGGGTAATATTCCCCCTTTTCAAGAATTTTGATAATTTTCGAATTATGATTTCTTGAAATCCTTGCATTTTAAGTATATAGCGTCTTCGGCAATATTACTGATAAAATATCGAGGAATATTTTGGTATGCAACTTTAACTCTCAACCGACTCATTAAAGGGGTCTTTTCGGTTCCCTTTTCCAGGAGTGATTGAAAACTCATTCAAAACGGGGTTAAATCTGCTCAGAAATGTTCGCCATAAAGTTTTACTATAAGTCTCAGAATAGACTAAAACTCAAAAATCAGCCTAAACGTCAAAAATCATAAAAAAAACAAAAACTAATTTTAGGGTTAATATCGTACTTATTACTAGTTTTTACCCATTTTTCCCACAAGATGTCATTTTAGGAGGATGGTATAAAGGACATCAATTTTTAGCATAAGTCACTGAACATAGAAATCTGTATATATAATGTATATACCGAATATATAGTCATACATTTTGAACCAAAAATTCAAAATGTTCTTGTATTTTTTCAAAGACATTTCCCAGTATTTTTTTCGACAAAGTGCATTAAAGTAACATGAAACTTAATTTTAGGTATATAATGACAAAGAATGACAAAGTCAAAATCCACGTCAAGTCTCAGAATAAACTATAGAATATTCTGAGCAGCTTTAACCCCGTTTTGAATGAGTTTTCAATCACTCCTGGAAAAGGGGACCGAAAAGACCCCTTTAATGAGTCGGTTGAGGGTTAAAGTTGCATACCAAAATATTCCTCGATATTTTATCAGTAATATTGCCGAAGACACTATATACTTAAAATGCAAGGATTTCAAGAAATCATAATTCGAAAATTATCAAAATTCTTCTCTTTTAAAAATGCCCGTCTGTATTGGTGCCTGGTGTACTCTTGAATAGAGTAACCGCTTTGTAAGTTATTTTAATAAAATATACATTTATATCACCTTGCGAACGGAGTATCCGATTTGATCCAAATTCAGTTCAATCTTATGTTTTTACCAAACCTTGGCGTTTTTGGTCCACTTCTGCTTGTATCTTCCTAATATTTTTCTTATTATTGGTACGTTCCTAATATTTCTCACCAACCAACGTGGAATCTGAGGATATGATCTGTCTTTGCTATATTTTGATTTGAGTTGGTAGGTTCTTTGAATATTAAAATCGAAATAATTTAAACTAAGTCCACACTTTTATATGTGCAATTTTGAAGCAAATATCGCTCACTTTCTGCAAGACCGACATAAATCAAAAATCCTAATTATTAAGTTTATGGTGCAGAATTGTTCGCTATACCAGACTTCATTTTGTGTAAAAAATTAAAATCAATATCTCTATTCCTGCAAAATCAGTTTTTTATTTATGCCGGTCTTTCAGCAAATGATCCACATCTCCTGACCAATATATAAATAGTTACCACATGTTTAATCGACTTGAAGTTTTACAATATATATGTAATATATATACATTCTTTCATAATTCCAAAAATTTCCATTGAATAATATCAACATTTTCTTTTTTACAGAGAGTTTGGATAAATGGGAACGTTTGACTGTGGCTGATGCTTTGGAAACTGTTACATTTGAAGATGGTGAAACAATTGTTAAACAAGGTGAAGCTGGTGATGACTTTTATATTATTGTTGAAGGCTGTGCTGTTGTATTACAAATACGTGCTGAGGTGAGTTTTTTCATAAAATTGAATTGTTTTTTTTTACATTTCTTTTTTAAAAATTCCTAATTTACACCTCATTAGCAAGGAGATGAACCTGCTGAAGTTGGACGTTTAGGACCAAGTGATTATTTTGGCGAAATTGCTTTGTTATTGGATAGACCACGTGCGGCTACCGTTGTTGCTAGAGGACCTTTAAAATGTGTTAAATTAGATAGAGCGAGGTGAGTAAAATAATTGTTTTTTAATTTCTTAACCAATATGGTTTACATATTTTAAAGTACTATAAGAACAGTATAAAATAAAAGAATATCAGACCAGAATATTGTAATTATCAGTTAATATTTAGGGGGTGAAATGGACTGTTTTTCTGTTCGCTCTAGAGATCACGATTATGATCCGAACATTTCGAAATTTTACACAGACAAGGGGGTTTGACTATGGAATAAGCATGACTGTTTTGATGAGTATCGTTTAATATTTAGCGAGTGAAATGGACCCAGTCCTGAAGGACATAGACTCGAGAAATTAATAATATATCAAAGAAGATTGACCTTTATATTTATACCAATTATGTTGGTGTAAGACGATCTGCTATTCAAATATTGATTAGTATTACCATCAGTGTTGCCAATTTAGCACTTTTAGTGCTAGATTTAGCACTTTTTGAACTCGTTTAGCACCAAAAAAATTGATATAGCACCTAGCACTTTTTTTAGCATTTTTTAATTTGTTAGGAATTTTTTTTTAAGGTTTTTATTCAGCGGGAATCCCGAATGCCAAGTTATAACCACTTTAGATTACCGAAAAGGCGAGCGTACCCCTTTATAAATACCAAATAGAAAAATTCCGACAAACATATTTTTTTTATATTAAAGTCGCTGTTGGGAATGAGATTATAAGCCCTTAAAAGTGCGCAAATGGGACGAAATTGATAATTGTATTCATATTTGTACGCAATGTAAAATTACAGCTATTTACCTTAACCAAATTTGGACATTATTAGCATTTATATTTTAGTAGGAAGACTTCAAACCCCATTAAAACAAAAAATAGAAAAAAAACAAAATTTAAACAATCAAATTAAGCAATTGATGAGGGCTACCCTTAAGAGTGGACCAATACTGATAAGTTCTAGTAAAAAGACTATATATCCAGGTAGGACACAATATACAAATATACAGCAATTTAGGTTGAACCAGTAAGGAAAGTTGTAAAGTCGGGCTGGGTCTTTGACGCACCAATGACCTTAAATTATATATATATATATGGGAGATATATCTAAATCTGAACCGATTTTCACGAAACATAGCACACATCATTCTAGACTTAATTCAGTACGCTATGCCAATTACGTGCAAATCGAAAGATAGATGGTACACAATTTACCTTAAATGGGACGAAGCTATATATGGGAGCCGACCGATTTTCACACATCATTCTAGACTTTATTAATTACGCTGTGCCAACTTTCGTGCAATTCGAAAGATACATAGGAACTTTAGTGGGCTATTTACTTAAAAACTTTGTTTACAATTTAACATGGGTAGACGGGCAGACGGACGGACGGACATGCTTAAATCGACTCAGAAAGTGATTCTATGCATATTCTCAAAAGGAACCATAGGTCTATCTCGATTATTTCTGCCTGTTACAAACATATGCACAAAGGCATAATACCCTGTACCACAGTGTGGTGAAGGGTATAAAAATGTGCCTAAAAGCTTAAAAAAACAAATATTGGGGTATGGTGTACCCAAAAACGACCGATATATTCCATTTCCAATATCAAATCTCATAGCAGTAGTGCCAACGTATGTGCAAAATTCCAAAGCTCTGACTTAAATATTGCGACCTCAATCGGACGAACATGGTTAAATCGACAACGAATAACCGTTAAGAATAAATGGGGTTTCTGATTAATATTTCATTATTAAATATTAACAATTTTGTTCTAGAAATTTTTAGCACTTTTTTCTGGCACTTTTTAAAATTTTTAGCACTTTCTAGCATTTTTTTCAACAAAATCTGGCATTTTTCCCCAACGAAGTTTTGGCAACACTGATTACCATTACCACACTACAAGGTGGAATCGTAGCGCTGATGACTAGAAATGTTGTATGAGGTTCTGGTTATGTTCAATGACGACACCTATATTAGTTGTGATGATCAGATGATATTTAGGGAAACCGAAAACTAATTTTAATGTCGCTCTAGAGACCACAATTTAAAGCCGAACATTAGATATTTTTTACGGGTAAGGCATTCTGACTAAATAATGGGAAAGACTGTTTTCATAATTATAGATCAATATTAACAGGTCAAATGAGCCAATACATTTGTGTGTAAAATGAAAAAAAAATTATCTTATGATTTAAATTTCACTCCGGAAAATTATAATTCGGAAAAGATGTCAGGGAAAGAATAAAGATCAGTAAAGAGAGTACAAATATGGAGAAATATTGTATATTTGTACAGAATATAGACCCACAGGAAGTTAGACTTCAGTGGTAGTTGTGTAGGGTAACACATGGCCGGTCCCGTCCGACTATTCTGCTCCGCCCACTGGTTTGACATAGATTACTGAATTGAGACTATAATAATGTGTATAGTCCCCATATAGATATATTCGTCTGATTTAATTTAAATTATGTTCCAAACAACTTAACTCTTTCCAAATAGCATGAAATCAAGATAGACTTATGGTTCCTTCACCAAAGTTGCTTAGAATTGCCCATAGAATCATCCTAGGGGCTGGATTAAATCGACAAAAAATTTGGCTCTACCTAATATATATATAGCTTTGAATCTTTCCTTACAGGTGTTTACATTGTTGTGGTCCTTTTTTTAAGTTCATATCAAATGGCCAATAATCATTTAAATAACCCCATTAAGTTTTGTTCCATTCCTTACTGTCTACCATTAATATCTTAAGTATAATTTATATAAACTAATAAATAATTTTTCTTTCTTACAGATTTGAACGTGTATTGGGACCCTGTGCAGATATTTTGAAACGCAACATTACCCAATATAACAGCTTTGTTTCATTGTCCGTTTAAAAACTTTTCATACGGAAATTACCACAACAACAAAAAAGAAAATAAATTAAATAATATTTTGGATATGTGTGAAAACAACAAAAGAAAACCAACATTATTTATTAAAACAAAACCACAAAAAAATTATATATAATAAAAAATCAAACATCTTTTTAAATGTTTAAAACAAAAATACTGAAATATATTTATAAATGAAATACAAAACAAACCAACAAAGAATAATACACTTTGTAAAATACACTGCTAATCAACGTGAACATAGAACATAGAAAATTCGGCAAAAAATATCTATGGATTATTTTGGAGAAAATTGCAGTTAAAGCCAAAAATAAAAAACAATGGTTTGAAATAAATAAAAAAAAAACAAATATGTATTTATGTAATGCAAACTACTACAAATTCATGCAGCTCATTAAGGAACAAAAAACCGAAACGCCATTTCATAACACCTAGGCCCTGGATCACTTGAACATTTATAGACCCAAACAAACAAAAAAGAAAATAAATACCAAAACAAAACAACAAACATGTTCATCTCTCATCAATACGTACGCTCACTTTCATTTGATGTTTTAATTGTTAAGCTATTGTTTTCCCCCACAAATTCAATGTAAACTCAAAAGATATGCATTCAAATTGTAATAACTGCTAACTATTATGAATATGCTGTGGTTTTTTCAATGTTCAATACCATCTCAGAATTTATTCAAAGAAGTATTTGAAGAAAACAAAATAATATAATGCTAACAAAAGGAACTGAAGAATCTTAATTCTATTAAGATATAAACTTTATTATACCTAATGCTAGTAAAACCCACATTATTTTTTAAATAACATATATAGAGAACATTTAATTTAAATGGAGTGCATTTTGTAAGACACACATACACAGGTTGGAATATGCAATAAAACAAAATCATCAGGTTCCAACGTAGATTTTTAATCCAAAATTTAGAATTCACAAGACAAGTTTAAATAATTTCCACATAACCGTAATTTTCAATTATTGCTTCCCTTTTTTATATTTATCAAATTTAACAAAACCAAATCGCTTAAACGAACTGGTTGATTTTATATTTTACCTACATAATTTGTTTATGAAAACTAAATATTCATACCTTCAATTCAATACCTTCAATATGTACTACATTTCAGTACTTTTAAGTACTATTTTTAAAGAAAAATCTGTCAACTTCTTGGCTCTATGATCTTTGTGGAAAAATCTTCCATTATATTTAATATGCAAGTCTTCAGAAAATTTGAAATTTATTTTAAACACTTCTCTTCGTCTTCATGATGAAGGTTATATGGCTTTTCAAATTACTAATTCTTTAAGGTAACCTACTCCTGTTATGAGGACAACTGCGGTGATTTTGATTTTGTTTTTGCACCCAACAGTTAGTGTAGTGTTTTGACTTAAAATACATTTCTTTCTAATGCGAGATGTTATAGAACGAAAAAAAAATTAAAAATAATGTATGGTTTTAAAAATGTATTTTTTTATTTTGTTATATTTCAAGGAATTACGGGGGCTAACTAATACATTGCCTATGTGTTTATAAACATACACCATTTCATCACAAAACAAGGTTGTTGTACAGCCGAAAAAAACAGTTAAATGTATCGACAAGATTATGTTCTCAATCAAAAAACGCAATAGATTTTTCTGTAGTTATTGCTCTGTTCCCGACGCAAGAATCTACTATTTTTTACTATTTTTATTCGATATCATAAAAGAGAAATTGTTATCGTAGTAAACATTTTTACATTCTTGCAGGTTTCTAGAACAGGCCACATATTTTTATTTTCAAATACGTTTTCCCAATATTTGTTGGTAACGTTGTTCAATAACAGTGCATGAATTTGAAACGCATAACCAAGGTATTAGTTAGAGACCTAATAGAAAATGGAAAAACTGAAATATATTGTTCTGAATTTTCTAGTATGTTTTCTAAATAATTAAAACAATAAATAACAATTGAAAATAATATTATTTTCAAATATAATTCATGAGAATTCAACAATAAAACAGTAACTTCAGTTTTTTTTATTTTTTTTTTTTAATTTTGTTTTTAAAGCATTATTTTGTTTTCTTAATTCTTATTATTAACATTTTTATTATTTTTTTGCCTTTTTGTTTTAAATCATTATTATATTAGAAACTACTTAGTTTACTATTATTATGTATTAAAAAAAACAACAGATTAATAAATCAATCAATAAAACGTCAGCAATAGCCTGACAAATTCTATGAAGAAAGCAAGACAATTTTCAAAAGAATGAAATATAATAAGCAAATGTAAGAGAAATATGTTAATTATATCCCTTTTATATTCAAAAGAAACTACCATAACCTCTGAAATGAAAAAAGTAAATTAAAATGATAAAAACAGTGTCAGATAAAAAATTTTATACATTCAATGTATAAAAATATAAATTTTTGGGAAAAGTTCCATGTTTAGTCATTTGTTGGTCCTTCACAATGTCCGTTTGCCTGTTGACAACACGAAGAAGCTCGCAATATTTAAAATATTTACAAAAATACCCCTCGGATGTTTGATATTAACCCTAGGGTATTATTGAAATGGTAATTTAAATTCTCTGAGGTTTTTTCCCAAAGATACAATTTTAATTCCATATCACCGACACCTCGTATTTTAGATACACATATATAAGCAATTGCCCGTTTCTCGGTATTCGCTTTTTTCAATCTTAGTGACTGTATTGATGGATTGAAGAACTTCTCACAAATAGGTTAAAAATAGCTCCTGTTTTTGACACTGCCTCTATAAACAGATTCGATATACCGTAAAGGTCATTTAGATATTCGTTTGACATTTCAGTTTAGCATCCGTAATATAGTATAAAAAGTTCTCTCTGGGCATGTCAGAGAGGCTCGTGATAAAATACAAACGTTGAGACCTTTGGCTTTATACAAATTGTACGTAACGACTAACTGTTTTGTCTGACACTGTTGTGGTCTGTATTTTTGGTTTTATCAATTTTCATAGGAAGTTTTATTTTCTTTACGGTTATAATATATTAAAAAATGTATTCCTAGGAATATTTTTTTTTTAATTTAAATTCTTTTATTTCAGAAATATGAATTGTAATTCAGATTAAAGATAAGAAAAATCGCTTAAAAATACACACTAACTTCTTTAAAGGTATTCTATTATGATTCAAATGTTTTTAAGTTCCATTTCGTAAGAAGTGTTTGTTTTTATTTTTTTAGAAATTTTAAATAAATTTTCTGTGTATAACATTTTATAGAAAAGGTGTTATAGTAATAATTATAAATATAATGAATTTAATATATATAAATATATATATATATATTATTTATTACTTCCCGAAAACACAGACCACTTATTATTATAAAGAAAAAACCCAATAAAAATTAATAGAAGCAAACATTGTTAAATAGTGCTGGCGCCTCTACAATTAATAACTAGCAAAAATAAAAGCAAACAACAACAATAAATAGAACAACTCTTCAATATCACAACTGTGTTGATATTGAAATGTATACATACACACATACGTACATTTATACTACCATGTATTTAGTTTTCTATTACCCGCCGGCGGGTTTCCTGCACATGCAAATTCAAATGGTATGGAAATGAACAATTTAATAACAATTAAAATCTAAAGGAAATTTATACCACCCTGGACTTGTAAAAAAATAAGTTTTCCTTTATATACAAAGTACAGCAAAGTAATTAAAATCAATTTATTATTTTTTATTTAAATAGTTACATAAATTCTCATCGTTTATGTTTCAGTCCCCTCCGGAAATATTTTAAACAGTTTAATAACATGTACACATTTATCGAGTAGGTTTATTTCTTTGAAAATCAAGTCCAAGACCCCCTCCTCCTTCCCATCAGTCTGAATAAAATCTTTTTAACTATAAACTAACTACTACTTATTATTATCAATAATAATAATAATGAAAAAGCAAACAATAAAATAATATTTTTATTTAAAAACTTTAAAAAAATTGTGTAATGATTTTCCTTTTGGTAATTGTATGTAAGTAAAATTATCACATGTACTGTTATAATCTCTGCAATCGTATTATTGTAAAGACAAGACAAATACCCCATAAGTAAATTAACTTAGAAATGTTCCTAGGACAGAACACTTTTCGAGGCAATATTTTTCTTCTTCTTTAAACAATTTTGTATAGTTTTTCTCCATTCCCCCCACTGAATGTACAGAATCAATATCTACATTTCCCATTAAAGAAATATCGTCTATGTCAAGTCTCGTATTGATGACAAATTTTATTTAACAAATTTAAATGTGCTAAAATATAAAAATTCCTTCTCTCTTAATTATCACCTCCTCCGAATAATATGAATTAAGGTCAGACATCTATATACCAACAAACATATGCGTTCTAACACTTATTCACGATTATGTATCTATACCTAAACCAATCTAAAATATAAATTTAATTAAAATAGTGGAAAACCAGTAAGGAAAGTCGGACTGGGTCGACTATATAATACCCTTCACCACTTTCTGTAAATACGTACAATATCTTGTCGATAGAACATACAATCGGACTAAATAAAATATGTAATATAAATATATATATATATATATATATACCAAATTAAATGAACCCAGAAATATGTCATTCTGAACATATATATATATATAAGCCGAGCTTAAACCAGTAAGGAAAGTAGTAAAGTCGGGCGGTGCCGACTATATGATACCCTTCACCACTATGGGTATATTTAACAGGACTATTAACATAAAATTGGATGAAAAAAAATATGTGATATTTACCTAACTGTGAATCTACCTAGATCTATCCATAAAGTATGTCAATCGACTTCAAACAAGTATAAAGAGGTCATCCGTTGGGCTATGTCGGTACTTCTAGAAAACGCAACTACGTAATTCTATGCTCAATACGTTGTTCAAAATTTGATGTCAATCTGACTAACATGAGGAGTTTGATGCCCAATTTACTTGAAATCGGGCGAAAATATATATGGAAGCTCTATCCAAATATTAAGCGATTTCAAACAAACTTGTCACAGG